CAATGTATTATTTTGCAATCAAAAAATTTCTTTGTTAAAATTAAATTTCTTACAATAAATTACATAAAATTTTTAAATTAGAAATGATGTACATTATTTAACTTCAAAACTTAAAATTACTAAATTATTTTATAGACTCTTGCAATTAACATTAGTAAACAATTCACTTGTAACTCAATTTAGATATGTAATCCGTGGATCGAGATTCAGGCAGAAAGTAAAGGTTTATTAACAAAAAGCAAACTAACACATACAAATTTAAAAAGAACGCCATCTGGCGGTATAAAAAGAAAAAGACTTCGTAGCTATCCTTCCCAGGGAATGATAACAATCTCCCCCTGCTAGAAGGATTTTACTTTTAAACACAAATAACAATATATATAAAAAAATATTAATTTTCTTAACATAAATTTCAAATTAAACTTATTTTTTCCAAAGAAAAAATTAACTTCTCAAAATTCACAGCTTTAGTTAAAAAATCATAAATATTATCACTAATATTGTTATAAACAGTTTTTAATATTTTATCTTCAATCATATCTCTCAAAAAATGAAATTTAAGATTTAGAAGATTTACCATTGTTCAACCAGTCAATAGCTGCTTGGCTATCAGAAAATATAGTAACAGGAGCATTAGTAAAATTTTTTACAGTTCAGTTCATTTAGCATATTTATTATCCACGTAAGTTTTCGAGCTGTGTCAGCTACAGCAAATAATTCAGCTTCACGTGTTGATAGTCCTACACATCTTTGTTTTCTACTTTTCCATGCTATATGAAAATTACCTATCATAATTACACAATCTGAAAAAGATTTTTCTCCTGCGTTGCCCCAACTTGCATTCAGTGGTGGATCCAGCGGGGGGTCATAGGGTCATGAAAAAAAAATTTTTTCTCACTAGTTTACAAAAGAAATAATATATTTCAAAAATTATATACACCTGTGTAGGTCGGAAAAAAAATCATTGACAGATTTGCCAAAGTTTCTAAAAAACTCATTACATTTATTATTTAAAGATTTTGAATACTTGAATTTATGTATTGTTCTATTGTTCATTATGAAAAAATAAATGAGAAGACTAGCATTAAAAACCCTAGTTTTTTTTTTTCTAAAAAATATTCAAAAATATTATTTCTATGAAAATAATTAATTATGGGGAGGGGGTGAATCTGAGTCCTCCCCAGGAAAAATTTCTGCATCCGCACTACAGTTTAAAAAACCGAATTCTTTACTTATAAAACATGACCTTATCTTTTGAACCGTTCAAATATTTCAAAACTCTTTTAGCCAAAACATAATGCCTTTTTACAGGACGTTAATTAAATTGTGATAAATAACTAGTTACAAAAGCAATATCTGGTCGGGTTCTATTTGCTAAATATAAAAGTTCACCGACGATTTCCTGATAATCAGTCTGATCTACTAAATCATCAGTAGGATTAAAACATCTATCTTCACCTTTAGTTATGGGAATATTTGCTTTCTTACAATTTTCCAAACCATATTTTTTCATTAAAGTTTCAATGTAATGAGTTTTAGATAAACCAATTCCATTTTCTTTTTGTAAAATCTCAATGCCTAAAAATTTTGAACCATTTGTTGTTTCTTTTAATTCAAATGCTTGATTAAGTTTTGAATTGATATCCTTGCATAATTTCGAATTATTAGAAAATATTAAAATATTGCCAAATCATTTACGTATACACAAATTGCAAAAAAAAAAACATTATCATTAATTTTAGCAAATACGCAATTGCCAGATGCAAGTTGAGTGAGACCAATCTTTTTAAGTTCATTTTTTAACTTAATATGTCAATTTCTACCAGATTGAGGTAGACCATAAATACTTTTATTTAATTTGCACACTTTATTTTTATCATATTTATCTTCAAAACCTGGAGATATTTCCATATATAGAGTTTCATCAGTATCACCATAGAAAAATGCAGTTTTAATATCAAAAAATTTAACAAATAAATCAAATTTTGCTGATAAAGCAATTAATAACCTGAATGATTCAATATTTACCACAGGTGAATATGATTCAGAATAATCAGACATTTTTAATTTGATTAAAACCAGCTGCAACCAGTCGCGCTTTGTAAATTATGTTATTATCGTAATTTTTAATTGTATATACCCATTTACTTTTTATTATTTTTTCCTTGTTAGGCCTCTCAATTAATTCGAAAACCTTATGTTTCTCCATCGAAAGAAGTTGATTTTCCATTGCGGTTTTCCATTCTGAATATTTATTACTATTTATCGCCTGGTTATAATTTTGAGGAACAGAGATCCTTTCAAGGCTAAGCTCGCGTTCGCGGTTATTATATATTTTTTTTCTTTCAGAACGTCTTAATGCCGGAGTATTTTGATTATTTTCATTTCGCGAATCGGTATTTTCTTGAGACGATTTATGAGAAAAAGAATGTTCACTCCTTGATTCGGTTAGAGGGGTGTTTTGGGTTTCAGTTTCGATTTGCGGTTGAGATATATTAAACTGGGTCAAATCCTCAATGTTCCATATGCTACATTCATTTTTGTTTGTTACAAATTTAGTTCCTCTTAATGATTCGTTAAATTTAACAGTCAATTATAATATTTTTATCGACTTCATATATTCTATAAGCGCGCGTTTCTTTAGAATAACTGACGAAAATCCCACGTTTTCCCGGAACATCAAATTTATTTCGGAATTGTTTAGGTATATGAAAATAAACGACGCATCCAAATACTTTTAAGTAGTTAAGTTTCGGTTCTTTTCCTGACCATACTTCAATCGGAAAATTTCGTTAATTTTTCGCGGTGTAAGATTAGAAATGTGAGAGCTAAAATTTATCGCTTCAGCCCAAAATTTTAATGGTAGTTCACTTTCATTATAATAATGCCCTAGCCCTTTCTACTAATACTCTTATGGATCGCTCAGCACGTCCATTCGACGAAGGATTACACGGTACTGTTTTTTCATGTATGATCCCGTATTTTTCTAGAAAACTATCAATCTCGTTATTTACAAATTCGTTGTCTGTTCTGAATCTTTTGATTTTCTTATTCATTGAATTTTCATACCTTTCTTTAATCATACATAACATATCAAATACTTCATTTTTATGTTTCAAAAAATAGGAAATGTACATCCCAGAAAAATCATCAACTAAAACTAAAAAATATCTTGAATTCCCTAATGAATCACAATTTATTGGGCCTGCTAGGTCCGCATGGATTAACTCTAATATAGAATTACTCTGTGCAATATTAATTGTTGGATGACTTTTATGGGTTACTTTACTTATTTCACAATTATAATTTTCAAAATCTTCAAAATTTAGGCCAAGGACATTTTGCATTTTAACCATGTGAAACAGATTAACTTTAATGCCAACAGATGGCGCTCAGACTGAATGCATATTATGAAAATTAATGTTTTTTTATTTTGTTTTAGTTTGATTTCTATAGCTTCGTTAAAGAAGATCGTTTTCTGTAATGTCCGCCCTGTCATTAAATTTGGTTTATTATTAGAATTCGTTTTCTTTTAAGCACAAGCGAAGAAGATTTGCAGTAGCGAAGTCTGGTAAATAGATAAGATCCAGGTAGGAAAGAATAATTGAACTTTTTTCTATTCTATTTCTTTATGGTGCCGATAACACCGAGACTATTACTGTTTATTGCTTGTTGTTTATAAGAATTTGAAAACGAAAATGACGGACGAAGCGAAACTAAAAACGAGAAGAGGCGGTTTAAGAACAAGTGCCACTAAACTCATGACTAAAATTGACGAAGCTTTAGAAAATTCGAATTTAGAATATTTAGAAGTAGCACTTGTACAGCTAAACGAAAAAGAAAAACAAATAATTGAACTAGATAAACTCATTATTGATAAAATCGAAGACTGTAAACAAATAACA